TACCAAAGAGGACAGTGTTGAAAACCTCTTTTCAATACAAGCTTCAGTGCGCTTCATGTATCCATCACTAACTTGTGGGATCGGCTCGGGTGTGCTGTTCATGCCAGAGTGACCAGTACAACCAGTGCCATCCCTTTCGTGTGAACACAGTTCAGATCTGATCTCCGGTGTTCAGGTTGGTGGATACCGGATAAAGAGGACGACAGCAGAGGCTGCAAACAGATTTCCAGAAAACCAAATTAATGAATTGACTTCATTGTTTTCTGTGGTCATCATACAGCAGCTGTACTGAGAACTCCAACACAGCAGGTGGCGCTATGTCCCTTTTCTATCGGTTCACCAAAACACGCGAAGAAGAAGCAGAAGAAGGAAGAAGAAGGAGGAGGAGCAGCGTTAGTACTGAGCTGTCACAGTTGAATAGACGGGATAAAGGAACAGATTCCGTTCAGAGTATTTCCCGGGCAGCTATGGATGTAGCGCTGTATGTGATAGCTGCCGCTGTCCTCGTCGTCCTCATACTGTTTGCCGTGAAGGTGCGGAGGCAGACACGGGCAGGTAGGACCGCCTCACTGCGCTCGGCTGCAGCGGTGGGCCGCTGCCTGGATGCCGACATGCCGCCGTCCAGGCTGCTCGTTTCAGACGCTGTTTGGTCGATGAGCAGCACCTGTAGCTCTGACTGCTCGGATCTTTGGTGAAGCCCTAAACGTGTCGATCCGGCTCATAGCGCGCTGACAGCCGGTTGTAAATAATGAGTTCATCAGATGTTGGTGTTAAAGCTCGTCGGGCAGTGGGAATGGAAACGTCACGCGTGGTAACGACGTGCTGTCAGCGTGCAGCTGTGCAGAGCTGATGTGGGCCTGAACGTGTCATCAGCCCGTGGCTGAAGCCAGGACATGAGGACACGGCAGACTTACACCAGCCTTGGCCTGAATCTGTATCTGATGGCGTTTAAACTCACCGAAACAGACACAAACCCCAGCTTTATGTGGTCACCCCCCCAGTTTAAATATTTACTTAATTGACAAAGTGTGTGCATGGCTCATAGTTTCCTTGTGCTGTGTGCTCAGCCGACGAGGACCAGCGCAGGGATGTTGTGCGTGCAGCGGGGCCCCCTCAGCGAGCAGCAGAGGAGCGAGGAGCCGGCATGCCTCGCAGGAGAAGGAACCTGGCCAGTGTGATGGCAAACAGACGACCTCAGAGAGAAGCTGTGGAACGCGGTAAAGCCCCTGAAACAAACACGTTAGTGTGCTGGAAGAGTCTGCTCGGCTCGTGGTTGAGCTCTCGGAGCGTATGTTTCATGAGGGCCTCTCCGAGCAGAAGCACAGGCTTCCTGTGGGACAAATGTCCCTCATAATGTCCCTGCATGTTCATCACACAAAGATGAATTTCAACATTAAACTTTGGCTTCTCCTACAGTTTTTGCTGAGCATTTATGACGTGTCACATTATTTGATTTCACCCCCTTTTTTCTGTTTCCACTTCTGTTGATCAAATGCAAAACACACAGTAAAGGTGCTGTTTATACATGAGAATGAGTGTGTCCTGCTGCTTTCAGAGGAGGAGCCTGTGGAGGAAGACGAGGCGGAGCAGCAGAGCTTCCAGCCGACTGCAAAGGTCGGAGCCAAGAAGCAGCGGAAGTTGGAGGAGAAACAAGCCAAGAAAGCCCAGAGGGAGGTGAGACACGCTCCACTGTCCACTCAGGGCTCGTTTCGATCTACTGGTTTTTAATGAACTCTGTTCTACTGCAGTGTCTTCAGAGTCACTTTACAGTTTACTATTTTCAGGCTGAGATGGAAGAAAGGGAGGAAAGGAGGAGGATGCAGGAGCTCAGAGAACAGGAGAGGCAGCAGGCAGAGGAGAAGGAGCGGCTGCTGGAACAGAAACAGGTCTCACCGAGTCCTCGGCAGCTTTCCTCGGGTGCTCACGTGATCAGATGCTGATGCTCTGTGCTGCTCTCCACTCAGGAGGAGCAGGAGCGCCGAGCTAAAGAGGAGCAGGAAAAGCGCGAGGAGGAAGAGTACCTGAGACTCAAGGCTTCCTTTATCGTAGAAGAGCAGGGAGAGGAGGAGCAGCTCTCTGAGGACCAGGTCAGACCGGAGACATTATGGTCAACATTCCTGTTTTATTTGGAGTAAACCTCTGCTTGTGTATTCTCAGTCACGCAACCTGCTGCAAGAATTCATCCAGTACATCGAGGTAAGGCCGCCCACTCCGCCGCTGCTCCCCTGCTGACATCAGTCAGCGTCTTTCTAACCGTCTCCTCTGCTGCAGACCTCTAAGGTGGTTCTCCTGGAGGATCTGGCTTCTCATTTTGGGATGAGGACACAAGATGCCATCAGCAGACTGCAGGACCTGCTGGCTGAAGGCTCCCTCACAGGTTAGCGCGTCAAGACCGTTCAAATACACTGAACATGTCAGATCCAATATGCCAGGAGGCCAGAAGATGAATTAATTACATAATTAATGAGGAAAATCAGGCTGACAGTTGCTGTTGTGAAGGATCATTCGTCCTGAGTGAGCCCGACTGCACATCCTCCCACATGTTCATGGACGACTTCAGCTCGTTCCTGGCAGTAAGCACAGAGCTTCTGTGCTCGATGCTGCCACCAGATGTCCACGTAACTGTCTGAGCATTGGTTCTGGTTGCTATTATGAAGTGCTGATGCAGTATCTAGAAGGCAGATCCTACGGTGACCTGTGGGGTGGCTTTAGCTCAGGTGGTAGAGCAGGTCACCTAACCAGAAGGTTGGTGGTTCATCCCCAGTCTGCAGAGTGAACGTGAGGCTACGTTCACTCTGCAGGTCTTAATGCTCGATTCTGAGTTTTTGATCAAATCCGATTTTTTTTGTTTGCTCGTTCACACTACAGATGAAACGTGACAGCAAACGCTCAAAGCAGCCGCATGCGCAAAAGAAGACGTCACGCACAACGCGCTCTGTTTAGACCCAGAACAAACAATGTTTGACTGATGGCCTTAATATAAAGACTTCGGACTTCACGTTTCCCAATTTTTGCTTCAAGTTATTTTGTTATTGACATAATAATGTAAATAACCTAATAATTATCCTTATTGCTGTTTTAGAGGAGCGGTGCTTCGAAGGATAGCTGCAGATTTCTGTCAGAATCTGCAGATTATACAGAACAAATAAAATGTTCACGTTTCTCCAACGTTGTCTTCCCAGCAGTTTCACGGGATGGACAGGAAGCGTTCGCGATGTCTTCTCCGGTGCTGATAGTTGGCGTCTGTCTTGTGTCGGTGACGTAAAAGACGGATTTAATGCGACTTGACCATCAAACAGCAGTCGCTTTCTAAAACATAGGATATGTATCGGATTCAGCACCACATACCAAAGTGACCCAGGTCGGATTTGAGAACATCAGATTTGTGCCGTTCACACTGTCACACCATGATCGGATAGATGGTCGCAGAGGGTCAAAAAATCGGATTTGATGCGCTTTCGCCTGCAGTGTGAACACAGCCTTAGATGGGAAGTGCTTAGAAAAAAGCCCTTGAATGTGTGAATGTGCAGAGCGGTGCTGTATAAGAAACGGTGCATTCACTGTTTACTTGTTGTCTGCAGGTGTGATTGATGACAGAGGGAAGTTTATCTCCATCACTCCAGGAGAGCTGGACTCGGTGGCTCAGTTCATGAGGCAGCGAGGCCGAGTGTCCATCACAGAGCTGGCTCAGGCCAGCAACTCTCTGATCAACCTGATGCCTGAGAGTCGCAGTGCTGCCTGACACTCTGTGGACACATCCTTGAGTGGCTGTTGACACACAGCTGGACTCCTCACTGCCATCCTGTGTGGCTCAGTACTCTTAATCACAGCAGACGTCAGGTTACAGTTGACCTCCCAGTATGAGGATTTCAGCCAAACTGGAATAAACAAATCCTGAGTTTTATCAGTGACTCGTGTATTTTTGCATTTGCACAACTGCGTTTCTTCTTTACTGGAGTCGTGAAGCAACTCAGTGGCTCAAAGTAACACCCCACACTCATGTCTGTGAAGGTTCTCAGTCATCCAGGTCATCGTAGTCTAAGGAGCTTGGAGAGAAAAGCGTCTGGACTTCTTTAAGTTGCTTGAAGACGTTTCACCTCTCATCCGAGAAGCTTCTTCAGTTCTAAGGTCAAATGGTGGAGAGTCCCAGATATAAGCCTGGTGGGAGTTTCCCCCCACAGAGGGTCATGGACCCCCTAATGATCGATCTATCTAATCCAGGGCTGCCCAATCCCAGTCCTCGAGAGCTACTATCCTGCAGCTTTTAGATGCATCCCTACTCCAACACAGCTGAATCAAATGAATGGCTTGTTATCAGGCCTTTGCCAAACTTGATGGCTGCTGAAGAGGTAATCAAACCATTTGATTCAGCTGTGTTGGAGTAGGGATGCATCTAAAAGCTGCAGGACGGTAGCTCTCGAGGACTGGGATTGGGCACCCCTGATCTAATCACATGAGCCAAGGTGTGAAACTGGGTGTGGGTCACAATCAGTCAGGGTTTCAGGCGAGCTCATTGTGAAACCTGGCCCCACCTTATCATGTGATGTCCTGAGGTCAGATGGCCCAGGATGTGAGTGGGCGTTAAGGCGTCTGGGAAGGATCTCAGAACTGGATTATAGATGGCAGAGAGTTGGTGTGTTAAGCCCCGCCCTGTTCAAAGATGGTCGCTCACAGTGGACATAGATGCTTCTTTCACTCCTCTTTGACCTTAGAACTGAAGGAGCTTCTCAGATGAGAGGTGAAACGTCTTCAAGCAACTCAAAGAAGTCCAGACGCTTTTCTTTCCAAGCTCCTTAGACCCACACTTGGGTATATTTATGGTGGGCTTTCTACGTGTGCTGCATTCAGTTTGTTCCACACATTTGTGTCAGCTCTGATTGGTAATGGTTAAACTACCCAGAAGCTTCGTGTGCTGCTCATGAAGGAAGTTCTCGTTATTCTCAGACCTTGTACTCAGTGATGAATCCATAAAGAGACTGCGCAGTTTAAGGACCAATGCAGTACTTTCAGCAAAACTTTAATGTATCAATGCCAAATACAGTGGTGGAGAATGCTGCCAGACCTCTGCAGCTCCTGGTGCTGTAGGATGGTGAGCATCAGCCTTGGGGGGTGAATAAGGTGAGGTGGGTATCAAACCTTGATGATACTGCAGGTACAGCCAACTGTGAGCATTACAGCAGCTCAGATTTAGTCCAGTACTGGATAACCACCGGATTTAAAATTAAAGGAGGTCTGTAACATGACAGAGGTGGAGCCACAGTGACAGGCAGGTACAGCACGTGGCTCAGGAAACAAACTAAGAGTCCAGCACCCTGAGCTTCTGTTTTATGGCATCGTGCTGTTTTCTTGTTGTTCCAAGTCTTTCCGTCGAGTCCACAAAGCTCAAATCATTGTTAGAAAGGAAAAAACCTTCAGCTGGACGTCTCCTCGCCTTTGTCCTCCGGTCCTTGTCCTCTCGCGCTCATTTTGATCTCCCAGGTGGAGGTGGCTCCTCTATCCTGAAAACACAAGACAATCCCACCAGTGTAGCCCGAAACAGGAAATGCACTGAGCTAACCTTCTGTGCGTCGTACCTTTATCAGCACACCCAGGGGCGCCAGGTCCTCTCTGAGGGCATCGCAGGCTTTAAGCAGAGGGAGTCTGTCAGGGTGCAGTCCAGCTCTGCTCGGGGATCCTGTGGATGAACTGTCCTGACGAGCGAGCGCGAACTCTCGAACTTTGCTCCTGAACTGAGTCAGCTGTTCCACAACCGGCTGCAGACTGCCTCGGCTGCTCAGCACCTCAGCCTCCTTCAGAGGACAGAGACACACGGGAGACCTCTTCAATCAAGGATTATTATCATGATTCACTGACAGACGCCTCAGTGTCACGCTGCCCGCTGAAGGGACATCAGTGAAAAAGTGCTGACCTTAGTGTGCAGGTCGATGCCAAACACATCCAAGACATCTCTGACGTAGGTGACCATTGCTCCGAACACGGCGGGGCTGCGGGCCGCCCCAGCAGGCTGAACAGAAACAGGCTCGTGTCTGAATGTGCAATACGCTTAGAACAAGTATCACTGCTGCTCACTGACCACACTGTTGTCATAGCTCCTGTTCCTGATCCAGGCCTCCAGGGCTGCTGTCCTGCAGGTTTTAGATCTCACCCTGGATCAACACAGCTGAATCACATGACCAGGTCATTACCAGGCCTCTGCAGAACTTAAAGACATGTTGAGGAGGATTTATCCATTTAAATCAGCTGTGCTGGATCAAGGACACGTCTAAAACCTGCAGGAGCCCAGCCTTCAAGGCCCGGAGCTCCCCACCCCTGACCTAACCCGACGTCTGCTGGCAGAAGTTCAGATTTCACAACAGTGGGACTGTCCAGCTGTTGTGACAGAGGTGGAACTGAAGCTTGTCTAGTCTGACCACTCAAAGCTCTTCAGACCAACATGTAACCCAACATACGACAGCATGCTCCCAGAGCGCCAATACTGCCAGACCTGGTGGAGACCCAGCTGCTAACTGGGACTTTCCACCAACATCACTGACACACTGACATCAAACCTGTCAGACAGTTACCGTAGAAACAGGCTGAAGCTGGCAGTTTCCGTGATAAACCAGATTCATCAGAGCACTTATGGCTCTCGGTGTATCAAAGTCATCTGCTAGAGTGGACATCACAGTGGATTTAGTCTCAGCCAGCCTGAAAAGTACAAAAACACAGGAAGACAGTTTGTAGACGGAGCAGAACCTCTCAGGCATCAGCTGAATGTAGCGTCTCAGAATGCATGACTGCTGCCGGCACTAGCATCTGTCCTGTCCTCACTGCTTCAGCTAATTACAGCTGTGCGAGGAACAGGAGAGACAGAAATATGAGGAGGACACTCGGCCATGGGCGGAGGAGAAAGTGGGCACCTGCTCCAGAGCAAATCCTCCTGCACGTGTGAACACTGCAGCTGACCCTTCATGTAGGCCTGAGCATCGTGGCAGAAGGTGGAGATGGTGTCCAGAGTGCTGCGAGCCTCCAGCACGCTGCTGTCGCTGTAGTCGATAGCTGTGGAGACATTACAGGAAGTGCAGTTTAACATCGCAGCTATGCGACTCGAACTCCAATAAGGAATGCATTCATGTATCAGACTGGGAAAACCGAATCTGCGCCTCACCTGATCTGTATTTGCTCAAAAGACAAAACATCCGGAATTCATTGGCAGAATAAGACCGCAGAAAATCCTGACGAGGACGAAGACGTGATCATTTTCACCCACTCCACACAGCATAGCGCATTCAGGTATTAATGCAACAACACAAATAAGACACGGAGTCAGCAGGACTGTACCTTGATGCTGATGTAGTTCTTTAAAGACTTAGACATTTTCTCTGGACTGCCCTTCAGGTGTAAGTGCCCTAAAAACAACAACAACACGCTGAACAGAGCACGACACACAGCTGCTCCCAAACTCAGCTCTGCAACACGAATGACCCCCAAACACTTTCAGACAGCGTCTGCTTTCCAGAGAGCGTGCACGAGGCACGAGCCACGTCTGGCTTTTACCTGAGTGCAGGAAGTAGTTTGCCCATTGTCCACACTGGTGATACGCCTCACTCTGAGCGATCTCATTCTCGTGGTGAGGAAAAGCCAGGTCAATCCCTCCAGAGTGGACATCCAACTGTCCCCCAAACATGGAGCTGAAAGCACACGAACAGGAAACTCATCAGCGCTCAAACTCAGGCTAATTAAATCCTGCATTCAACTGTTCGACTGAAGAAACAAACATCACTGCTGGACTAACATGAAGTCAGTGTTGCTAACACTGGGGTCTATTTCTTCACAGTATAACCTTTCATTTCACTTTTGCAGGTTTGCCTTTTAAAGCAGGCGCAGACTCATCTCAGCTGTTAGTACATCCCCTGAGGACAGCAGATATCCTTACAGTTTTAAGGATTTAAATTTGCTGTGGGTCCTTTATCCTGTCATTGTAAGACAAGTGCTAAAACCTTACTCTGCCCTTTACACTGTAGGCAGGTGAGCGCACAAGTTCAATCTGACTTGTTCCATCTGAGACAGCTGGCCGAGGGAAAGCCAAACCTTCCAGCTAAAGTCTGAACGTGTTGTTCATCTGTTCATCTGTTCAGTACTTGCAGACGGGATTGCTGCAGTTCTTTGGTTTGGACCAGGCCTCTCTTTACTGCAGCTGCTCGTCTGCTGGCCGGTACGAAACAGAAGGAGCCGCTCTACACTGGCTTCCAATTTAAAATTGTAATCAACCCACAACAAGAAAACGTGTCTACAAACTGAGCAAATGCAGAAACCACAGGTTGTGCAGTCGCCCACTTCACGATGCCACGGAGGAAACAAATCACCGCAGTAAAAGTCGCCTCATTTACTGAGGTCTGTCTGTAACTGGGCAAAGATAAGAATTCCCAAGCGTTAATGGGATTCATGACCAAACAGAACAAACCTAGCAATGGTAGAACATTCAATATGCCAGCCCGGTCTTCCTCTGCCCCACGGGGACTCCCAGTATGGTTCTCGAGGTTTCGACGGTTTCCACAGAGCAAAGTCCCTCGGGTCCCGTTTGTTTGAGGAGCCTGCAGAGCCGTAGAGTTTGCGGTCAGTAAACTCGGGCGTCTCACTAACATCGACATGGAAACAGAAATAATAAGAAACTCACACCAACACTCACCGGGCTCTCCCTGAGGATCCACAGCTCCCACAAACCTGCCGTACCTGCCACCAATGGACTGAATGTCAAAATACACATCGCCTGCAACCAAAGCAGTGCACAAGTGACACCTCCAGCCTTTCAGACGACCACAAACACCAAACAAAACAAGCTCCTCGACATTTACCTTCTTTCGTGGCATAAGCGTGTCCATTTCTGATGATCTTCTCAATAAAGGCAACGATATGATGCACATTCTCTGTGACCCTTAAATACACTGCAGGAGGAACCACCTCAACACAACAACATGAAGACGTGTTTATACATGAACAGGATGGTTTTACAAACGCTGAAACTCAGAGTGGAGGTAAAATTGTGCAGTGCTTCATGAAAGCTATCCTTTTATCCTGTGCATGCTGATCTGCTGCAGGTCTAAGCTCACACCTTCAGCGACAGCATGTCCCTCTTGAACTCGTCCTCGTACACTGCGCTGACGGCGGCTGGGGAAACGTTTTCCTGTTGGACCACATGAAACACATGACGTCAGCAGGTGAGAACAGAGCAGCAGCCAGCAGGTGCAGGACGGCCTCACCTCCCAGCTTCTTCTGATGATCTTGTCATCGATGTCAGTGATGACCATGGCATGGATCACGGTGATCCCAAACAGTCTGCTGAGGATCCTCTGCAGGATGTCAAACCTCACGTATGAGCTGTGACGGAACAAACCCACAGAGCTCACACACACACACACACACACACACACACACAGCGTTTACCTGCACGCCATAGCCACACCTACTGTTGCCATAGTTACCTTGCATGACCCAGGTGAGCGTGATCGTACACGGTGGGTCCACAGCTGTACCTGAGATGTAACACATAAGTGGGTTATTAGGCCGCCGTGTGCCGGCATGAGCAGCACAGTGGTCAGAGTCCGTACCAGGTCGCGACCCCCTCTCTTGTCAGGATCAGGGGCTCCTTCTGTTTGCTCAGGCTGTTAAAAGTCTTCAAGCCCGTATCAAAGCCGCTAGGCCTCACCCACTCCCTCCCGGACACACTGCAGCTGGGTCCGTGGGACGTGGATCGGACCGTGACCGCCGGTGAAAGTCCGGGGACCGGTGCCCTCCACAGCAGCGAGCTCACCTGTTTCCACATCACAGCCGTGGTTTGAAGGCGCAGTCTGCGGTGTGACCGCACCGGAGCTCACGCACGGCTCACCGCAGCGGTTCCGACGCTGAAACAAACCGATCTAAACTCGGTTGTTTCGCTCTTCACGCACGTTTAAGCCACTCCTCCACTTCTCGCGAGAGTTGTATAGCGGAAGTTTATAGGCAAATCATGTGACTCGGTGTAGCTGGCAGTGTGAACAGCTATGCCAAAATAGTCGGAGCTCTGACAGGAAGGTTCAGATCCCAGAGGATTCTCCGATATGCAGAACGTGATCAACACGGTGAAGGGCACGGCCCTCGGGGTGGCCGAGTTATTCACCCCGGTATTAAAGGTAAGCGCGGCAGCTAGCTGCTGGTAGCTGCAGCCGCTCGGACGTCGGGGCTTCGTTTGTGCTCTCGGTGTGAAATGTTTGACACGCAGCTGCTTCACCGGAAGTGAAGCGGAGCACTAACAGCTTTCCCTTTGTTGTTAATGACAGGAGTCGAGATTCAAAGAGACGGGAGTCCTCACGCCGGAGGAGGTGAGACCGACACAGCCCCGCATACACTGTTCCTCCCGCGGCTCTGCTCAGGGCCTCACCTGTCCGCTCCTCTGTCTGTCTTTCAGTTTGTAGCAGCTGGAGATCACCTGGTTCATCACTGCCCCACATGGAAATGGTGAGAGGCTTAATTCATGTCAAACACGACGAGTCCGTGTCATTAAAAAAGAAACGCACGAAAGACGAAACTAGACGCTTGGTCCCGAGTTTCTGGAAGCGCGTCTCCGTGTGCTCCGACGGTCAAAGCTCAGTTTCTCCACTCATTCAGACGCCACATGTATCCACGTCGTTCCTGTGACAAACGTTTGACCTGCAGATGGAAAATGTAAAAAACCTGCACTTTTCTTTACTGTAGTAACACCACAAATGAGCCGTTTATACAAAGAGCTTGAAAAGGGGCCGCTTTCCCATCATCTGTGCTCATGCTTCACATCATCATCACCACAAAGGGTTAAAGGAAATATACTGGGCGCCATAACTAACTCCAACTCCAAGTAACTGCTGCAAACCAGCACTGTAGGGGGACAGAATGACCAAACCATCAGCGTGCGTTACAAAAGGAAAGATCATACAAAGAACACGTATGTGCGATATCCTTACATGTGCCGGCTCGATTGTTAGAGCTCCTGGAAACTGTGTGGTACATGCAGTCCATCGAGCAGTTGTCAAAGAGCTCAGAGTCGGCAGTCTTTATCAATCTGTCCAAACAAGTTTTTGATGCACAGAGTGGAGCTGAAACTGTGAGATTGCACCACGCAGTGCAACGTCACCCCCACCCTCCACTAAGACGATGAAACCCAGGTGCTGCTGTGATGGGGGCGCTGTCATAACCTTGTTTACAGCTGTGCAGCTTGGCTGCAGTCCTCGTCTTCAGTAGTAATGACAGAGCTTTCTGCCCCTTTGCTTTAGTCACAACGTGTTGATCATCTGTGGACTTGCTCTGCTGATGAAATGTTGCTCCGCCTCTCTGACTCAGTCTTTATTAGCCACCAGCTGGCAGGTTCGAACCCAGAGCTTCTTGATGGGAGGCAGCAGTGTTACCGCTGCACCACTGTGTCGCCAACATTGTCCGTCCTGCTGCAGTGTGGTGACGATTAATGTTGCCTGTGCTGACAGCTTTCACAGGAACGTTTGTGTGGAAAATGAGGATGCGGCCTCAGAGCTTGCATGAGTGTTGGATGTGTCTGAGCGATTTCACAGCAGAAGCTGGTGTGATGCAACACGGAGAAACCCAGCTTGTGTCATTATGGCACATCATCACACACTGAAACCTGCTGCCACAGAACACAGGTGGTTTTTTATGTTTTGCATGTCGAATGCAGGACAAATGTAAAAGCTGGATGTAGTTACTGTGACCTCCCCTGTTGGAGGCTTGATTTGAAGCCATGAAGTTGATATCGGTTAACGGTCAGTGATAATGGCTTGTGATTGACAGCTTGTTAGTTAATGTGAGTTCATGCCACAGATAATCTTCCATTGTGAAATGCAGCATCAGCACGAGCTAGACCCAAACTGAGGACACGAAGCCGTTTCACTCAAGAGCCAAAGCCACAGCTGTCCACAGCTGTCCACATCTAGTGCTCTTTAGACTGAAGGACCTCGTTAGACTTCATTTTTCCAAGCCAGAAGCTCAGTCCATGTTCTTCACTGTCAGAAAGATGAGAACAACTGTAATAAACTGTGGTTTGTGACCAGGGTGGAGGTCTCAGGACCTGAGCCGGGCTAAAATGGCAGCAGATGATCTGTTTTTTCTCTCCCATCAGGGCCACTGGAGAAGAAGCAAAGGTGAAGCCATATCTGCCACAGGACAAACAGTTTCTCCTGACACGCAATGGTGAGAGGCAGACTTCAGGAATTCCAGTCAGCAAGTCTGACTCACTGCTTCAGTGTTTAGTGACACAAGACTGAACCTCAAGTGCCTTAAAGTTCAGGACAGGACTGAAGCTTTAAAGATGATATTGTGAACAAATAATTTTGTGTGTTTCAAAGTGTCATTGCTGTGTGTGTCTGTGTGTGTGCGCGCAGTGCCCTGTTACAAGCGCTGTAAGCAGATGGAGTATTCCGATGAGCTGGAGGCCATCATCGAGGAGGACGATGGAGACGGGGGCTGGGTGGACACCTACCACAACACAGGTGTGATGCTGGTGGTACCCGCGCACAGCTAACTGTCCGTCGTGGTTCACTGTCACATACCGGAGTGGGCTACATGCTTCACATACGATCACACTGATCAATCTCATTCTGATGACGTGATATCAGATGTGTGCCGAGTATTTCCTGATGACTGCAGGTGTCAGTAAAGATCCCCTGAATGTGTCTGTGCAGGTGTGTTAGGAGTCACAGATGCTGTGCAGGAAATCTCACTGGACAACAACAAGGTTTGATTTCTAATTAATATGAATGTAAAATCCTCCACCGCTCTAATAGTTCCATCCCTCGGCTGAAGGACCGAGGGCGTGCGTGACGGAGGGATGTTTCCTCCCAGATTACTGCTCAGATGTGAATGAAACGGTTCGTTTGCTCAGTTTCGCTCCTTGCGATTGGTGGACCATCATAAAAGCCATCGATCGCGTCCCCGGTGTCTGATTGTGCGGTTACATATCTGTGCTCTTAATCTGAACTCTTCTAGGATAAGAACATGAATGCCCCGTCTGCAGCATGCTGTGATGATGAGGATGATGAAGACGGGGAAGCAGCAGATATGGAAGGTAGTGATCGTGTCTTTCTGTGGTTTGGATGTGCTCCCAGATCGGCCCTCACACTCTGCTGTCTTTTCAGAATATGAAGAAAGCGGGCTGTTGGAAACAGACGAGGTACGCTCGCAGCGCTGTCTGACCTCGGCCATCATCCGCCCGACTCCGGCCTGACTCTTGTTTTCTGTCTCTAGGCAACCCTGGACACCAGCAAAATAGCAGAAACTAAAACCAAAGCAGAACCTGGCAGCGAAGACGCCATTCTTCAGACGAGAACATATGACCTGTACATCACATACGATAAATACTACCAGACCCCTCGACTCTGGCTCTTTGGATATGATGAAGTATGAACTGTATTCTTCGCGGTATAGAGACGATAAGCAGTCGATAGACTCCGAGCGTGAACAGCTGCAGTCTGCTGCTGCTTGTTGAGAAGGAGCGCAACCAAAACTGAGACCAGCTTTGTTGCTTTGTCTCCCAGGACAGGCAGCCGCTCACTGTAGAGCAGATGTACGAGGACATCAGTCAGGACCACGTGAAGAAGACGGTCACCATCGAGAACCACCCCCACCTTCCTCCACCTGCCATGTGCTCGGTTCACCCCTGCAGGTGAGAGTTTCGTTTGTCGCGTTGAAAGATGCAGACCCACCACACAGCTGCACCTGTGATGGTGTCGAGGCTTATTGTGCTGAATGAATGAATCGGGAAAAGATGGATGACACTGTGGTGGGTTCGGCGATGCTGATTTTCACTGTGACTTCTTCACTGCGCTCTAAGAAGCCAAACGTTGTCACACACTAACTTCCTGTTTTCACTAGAAGCTGCTGCTCCAGCCCAAAACCTCTTTCACATGTTCAACTCACTTCTGTGTTCAGTTCAACTTGATTTCTATAGCAACCACAGATGTTATTGTAAGGCAGAGCCCCTGCAACGGTACTGAGTGATCACATGACCATTAATGGCGAGTCAGCTGGTGCTGGTATCGAGTCGCATTCTTCTGCGTCTCCGCTGAGATAAAGGAACCGTGGTCATTTTGACAAGAACCTTTAACCTTTGAACTCGTGACCTTTGCTTTCAGGCATGCTGAAGTGATGAAAAAGATCATTGAGACTGTGGCAGAAGGAGGAGGAGAGCTGGGAGTGCATATGTATCCTTTGATGATGTCACGCGTCACCACAGCGACGCAATGAAAGGAAAGTGGCTCCGTTGAGAAGCTTCACTTTGTGCATGTTGTGTATTTTCGGCTATTTGCAAAAGGAAAGTGTCAGAGCTGTGGGAGGTGTGGGCGCTGCAGCAGCACCCAGCAGCTCCGGTCAGCAGCACAGAGCCTGTCGCTCTGCTGGCTCCTAACAGCATCTCTCCAGACCAGCCAAGAAGCTGCCTGAGGAGGTGCCAGGCTTACCAGGATAAGCAGCAGCGATGGATGTTTTCACCTCTGTACACCAGCAGTTCATTGACGTACCAGCACTTCGATGTTTTATAGGAGCCGGCTGCAGCCAGGCAGGAAGAGCAGCACTCGGCGGCTGGCCTGCAGCGAGTGTTCGTGGTCAGGCAGGTGGTCGCTCTACCCCACCTCTGTTTCCTTAACTGATGCTTTCAGGTATCTTCTGATTTTCCTCAAGTTTGTGCAGGCCGTCATTCCCACGATAGAATACGACTACACGAGACATTTTACCATGTAGGTGCCTCTGCTGCAACACCACGTGCACACGGGAAATATCAGAGGTGGTCTCCGCTCTCAATACAACTGGTCTGCTGAATGTTTGTGCTACTCTAAGATGCTTTGTGTGGAAGT